ATGTAAAAATTACAAATAAAAATTATATAAATAAATTATCTATAAATCATTACCTTTTTAAAAAATTTTTATCCAATTAACTTTTAATATCTCTTTTAAAAAGTGTATTAATTTTTTTTTTTCAATTTTGATCCTAGTAATAACTACTCAATAAAAAAGTGCACTCCAACATCCCAATTTCCCCTATTAATAAAAGTAAACATGAAATTTCAATGAATATTGTTAATTTTTCTTATATTTTATCTCGCAAAAGTGTGTCAAATAAAATGAATACGAGGAGTGTATAAAAGTGTCAATATTTAGTTAGAAATTTTCTAACTTGTGCCTTGAGGGTGTATTAATTGTCTTTTTTTGTTAATTGTTATGAAAAACTAAAAATTGACTTTAATTTTATTAGCCATCTAATTAAAATTGTATAGATGTCATTAGTATTAAAGATAAAATCATGTTTTGCATTTTTTGATAAAAATTAATGAGGTAAAAATGCAGTTAATACATCTTTAACCTATGTTTTTTTTTTTTTTTTGATAAACCTATCACACTTTCTAGTTTTGCGAAAGCATTAAATGCTTCTTCCAATTTCATCCTTGTTAAATGCCTTTGATGATTTTTTTTTTTATAAAAAGGAAGGGGAAAAAAAATGAAATTTAGAGGGCTTATGATTGTGTTTGAAAACATTTTGTTAAAATTTCTCTTTTATTACGCAACGACAACTAAAAATGCACCGAGTACTTTTTTGACGTGCTATAATTTTATGTTTTCTACACTTTAACCACTCAAATTGTTAAAGGACTTGAAATGTTAAAAGGAAAATAAAAACAAAATTGACCTTTTCTATCTAATATAATACCAAAATGGTTGTGAAGTGTTTGCTATAGTGCCGCAAAGAAACCTCACTAGCAGAGAGAAGTCATTGATGGGAGGAAACCCATGTTGTCATTAGTTTTACCACTGATAGGTGATTAAAAAAAAAAAAAAAAAAAAAGGAAGGAAAAGAGAAGAAAAGAGGAAGAAAGCGAGGGTAAGCTTGTAATTTCATAATTATTAAAAAAAATTGTTAATTATATAATGACAACAACATAATTAAGCAAACTATAAGAACAATTGTGTAATTAAGATGTCCTTTTATTGTCTTCCAAATATAGTGGCTTTATTATAAATAACTATTCCTCTGTACGTATTTACTTGCTCATATAACTAATACATTCTACACATGATTTTATGTAATACTTTTATATAGAATATGATGGATAATTAAATTTTTTTTTCAATCCATAATATTTGTTAAGTAATTTTATTTAATAAAAAAATTTTAATTGTCATTCTTATTTGATATAAAAACATTAACTAAAGCATCATGGCAAAAGTCAAAGCAAACAAATAATTAGAACGGAGGGATGAATAAGGGTATATTTGTAATTCTAAGTTGAAATTAATTTGCCACTTCAATAAAATGTATCCATTTTAGTGTGAGTTCTAACCATATTAGGGGTGGATTTGTTTCTATATAGTTTTATTACAATCTTATTTGTCAGCATAATTTTTTTTTATGCACGTCAGCACAAATTATTAAGGAAGGCTTATACTAGGGTGTGATTATTGCCGCCGTGAAGATTTTTAAGGCCACCAAAATTTTAAGTCTATTTCTTAAATAGTATTTAAAAATATTATTTTGTTGATTAGTTTTAATTTATTAGTTAATAAATATCAATTGTTTTATCAATTATTAATTAATAATTATAGTAATTAGTAATTTTTATTAGTTAAATTAAATAAAATCAATATATTTAAAAACTACATGTAATAGTTTTGGTGGCCAAAATACTATTATTAGTGGCCATGACCATTCCTGCTTGTTTGCATGCTTACCAACGTAACAAAGTTATTTTTATAACATAAGGAGGACTTAAGGGTGTCTTTGGTTTACTTTCTTGAGAAATGTCCACCCAAGATTTTATAAGGGTATTTTGGTACTTATACATCTCAAAATTATAATGAATAAAGGGTAAAAGTAGTATTTTAGTCTTTATTTTCCCTAACTAATTCCAAATCCATAAATTTTTCTTCCTAACTCTATTTAAGGGAAAAAGTTTTCTATAACTTTTTCATATAGGACCCAATTAACAATTTTCCCTACCAATTTTTCCTATGTTAATTTCTAACCAAACATAACAAAATTAACAATGCAACAAAATTTCAATAAAATTTTATTACAAAATTTAATAACTTTTTGTACAGTATTTTTTAACTTTTTATACAACACTTTAACTAATCACTTTCCCATAAAACTTTTATGGAAAAATTGGTCTTTAACCAAACACACTCTAATATTATGTTTGGGTTGAAGGTAATGGAAGGGAGGGGGAAAAAATTCTCTATTGGTTATCAAAAAAAAATTGGAGGGAAGGGGAGGGGAAAATTCCCTCTATTTTTTTTTCTTAATTTGTTAATTTATCCAAATAAGGGAAAGGGAGGGGAGGGGAACAAGGGGATAAAATTCCTTTTCCCTTCATTCTCCTCCTCTCTATTCCCTTCAACCGAAATATAAGGTAAAGTTAACAGTTGACTGAAGCAAACAGTGGTTCATGTAAGAAATTCATTGCTCACTTTTTCGCATGTTCAAGATATTATTTTGCAACAAGTAAAGTCTTTGAATCTTTTTTAGCTAGTTCTTAAAAGTCTTATTTGAAATTAATAGTTTGTTTGATTTGAGGAGAGGAAAGTGCAGGGGAGGAGAAAGGCTTTCCTAGATCTTGATATCTTCATCTTCCTCATTACTCATGCGCCCCTCATGCTCAACTAGCGCCCTGGGTACTGCTCGTCCTTGATGTTCAGTTTCCCTTTTTTTTTTTTTTTTTTAAGTGAGATTGATGTTCAATTTTATAAATTGTAATAATAACATATATATTACAGAAAGAATAAAGAATGGACAGGGACAGGGAAGGGAGTAAACGCATTATAAATTTTAAATTTCAAGCTATGATTCTAATTAGAATAAGAGTCCTAGTAATTTTAATATAAAAATTTGTTGAGGGATCAATTTGTAATGCTTTGAAATTCAAAGCATGTGTAGTGCCACATCAACAAGATCGACTTTAGACTTGTGACTAAGAGGGTCCACATGATCTATTCCACATCAGATTTGTTATATTTTATTTTCTACTAATGACTGCAACGAAGTCAGTATCGCTAGAAGCAATGTTCACTCACTTCATTGGAAATATTGCAAACATGATCTCCTTCAATACCATTCTTACATACATGGCCAGACATGACTACATTTATCTTTATGACAAGGTTGAACGTTTTCCCAAGGCCATGATCTCTACTACAATGTTTACTGCTACAATTGACTCCCAGCAATGGATAAAGAGCCTATCTTGCTATATCTACATGCCTCCCATCAAAAGACAAAGAGCTGATTCTATCACATTTACATAGTTCCTAGCAATGGATAAAAGGCCAACCATTTATTCTACATATCTCTGACACTAGTTCCTATCAATAAACAACGAGCAAATTTTACTACATTTATATAGCTCTCAACGATGGACAAAAGGTTAGACTTGTATTTTACTTAGCCTCCGAAAACAAGCAAAAGGTTACACATTTCTACATATTTCTATTACATTGATTCCGAGAAATGGACAAAGGGTAGGATTTCTCTCTACATATTTCATTTTACTAGCTCTTAGAAACAGACAAAGAGTCAATGCAACTTGGTACAATTAGCATGAAGCCAGTAATAGTGGCAACCATGTGATTGGTTGGGATGGCTACTCTCAATCGATAAAAATCCATCAAGTTGTGGCCAGTGGCTCCTTAGTGGTCGCTCGTGCATGGTGGTGTGGTGCTTGGTGGGCAAAAACAACTAGCACCATCCTCTGATGGTGTGAGTATAGCAAGAAGGGCCATCATTTTATCATGGTATCACACCTTGTTCGAATCAAAGGCCATGGATGTGGTTGGTAATCCCCTTTCCATGGACAACACTTTACCCATTTTTCATCATATTCATTGCTATGCTAGAGTTTTGGATTGATGAGATTTATCCCCTTTGTGGCTTGGTAGATTGCAAGGAGCACTCTTCCAATTCCACATAGTTCACACTCTAGTCTTGGGCAAACCTAGCTATTGTTGTCCTTCTGACTATAGGAAAGTTATTCTTGGTTGACACAAAAACATTTAACATGGCCGATGATCATGCATATCATTATTCTTTCTACACAAAGGGACAAAATTACCAGTCATCGATAATCTCAATCTACAACATATTTCTTCTATATTTTTCCAAGCTTAGGGGATTATTCGAGATAAACTATAGTGGAATTGGCTTGGCAGGCATGGATGGATGAATGTTGCCCACTTTGCGAAGTATAGTATTTGTGTTAGCCAAGCTTAGGGTTGGCAATGCTACTCATCTTCACCAAGAAGGATTGGGTGGCAAAAATATGGAGGCAAAACTTGGTCCCAAAACTACACCATTTGATGCTAATTAGAAGGCTTGGAACCCTATTAATACTCAACCAAAGATGCTATTTGAGTCTCTATCACCAATCTACAATTGTATTTAATGTATGGATGGCTGCACAAGTTTCATTACATTGGAAAATGGCAAAAGAGATTATATTTTGCTTGGGAAAATCACCAAAATCTTAAATAGGGGTAGTTTTGCCAGCAATGCTCAATTGCACACCAAATATGGTATTTCATATGAACGAGGGTTACTAAGAATGGGAAGTCTACAACAAACCAACAATCCTCCATTGGATAATTCATAAGTGCACTTCAAAAGCTATCAATAGTGCCTAGATCCACATAAAAACTTGACACCTGTCCTCATACAACCCAAATCCACCCATTAGATTGCTAGGCTACTCTGGCCCCACTAACTCAAAATTACCGAAATGTCATTGCATATATATATTTGGATTTTGTTTCCTTCATTTGGTGGGACTTTTTCAGATTTTTAGAGAGATCACACACTCCATGCTTCAAACCCCATTTTTACTTTGATGAAATCTTCATCTTCAACCTCTCGACATACATACAAAAGTTCCCCAAAAATCTCCATTTTCTTTACATTCTCCTACATTTCTAACCATACAAATTATTCCCTAGACTTGCAACTCCTCATGGCTGGAAGATTTGATACTATAGTTTAAGATTCTGGGTTGTCTTTCTTAAGTAGAAGAGGATCGAGTAGTAGAGTTAGCATCAAGAAATGGGATCAAGTTCTCCATTCAAAAGCCCCCACAATGATCATCCTTCCTTCTCCCATCACTACTTTCAAGTTTATTCCTTTTTGTTTTGTGAAAGCTTGAAGAAGATTATTATGTTTTTAATAACAACACGAGGGTTGCTCATTTTAGAGTGGGAGAATTTGTCAAGGATAGCAGAGAGCGCATTTACTGTGCTTATTATTATTCTACAATGTTCTTTATATAGATGTGCTTCTCAAGTTGTAAGAGTAACTCTTTTTATTTTCTATCCATGTTGCTCCCACCATAATGTACATCCCCTTTTCATTATTCCTGGTAGTTGTGTATTCATTATTGGCTCTTAAAACTCTATCATCACTACTCAACTCTCCTAGTTTGGCTGGGGAAGTTATACTTTCGAACTTTGCTAGAGAACTCAGGGCAGACCATCTTTATTGGACAGAGGGAGATAGCTCATGACATGTATCCTATCGCATGTGAAACAAATGCAAGCCAAAAGGACCATTCTCATCTCCCATAAGGGGTACCCTAGTCAACCTCCACATCATCATCACTGCTGACTCATCAACCTCCTACCCCAACAAAATTTAATGCCATTGAAAATCCCTTAACTTTGCAAAATGTCATTACCATTCTTCTACTTTAAAATAAGTCATATGTATCCCTTAACTTATTAGAAAGGGCCAAGCATCATCCCTCGTCAATACATCCATTAAAATTTTTCCAAATTTTAATGGTAAAATGGAATCAACTTGTTCCATAATTTTTAGTTCTTGTGCCCTATGACCTTAAACTTCATATTTATTCAATTTGGTCCCTAATTTCAACTTTTTTAATTACAATTTAGTTCATAAACTTTTGAAAGAGATGCACTCAAATCTCAAATTTTGCATTTCACTCTTTTTTACACAAATAATAAAAATTATATAACTTTCAATAAAATCGCATTTAAATATTCAACTCATCCAAATATCAATAAAATTAAGTTTGAAATAATAAACTAAAATATATAGAAAGTAACTCTATTTTACAATCTAGACTGTACCTAACTGTAAAATATAGACCATTAAATGGGACAAAGGCCCCTAATATTAGAGGCCTAACCCCTATCCAAAGGTTAGTATTGTGCAATCTGGTATAGTTTGATACAGTTTGGACTACACAACACTTTTTCTATATATAAAACTCTTATCATTAAAGTATAAAATCAAATTTTGTATACTTGTCCTTAAAATGTCTTTGATACCTAATTTAAAATCCTATAAAATGCTACAACTAAAGTGATGAAGCTATAAAGGATGTGGATATAACTTATGGGTGTGGTGTAAATATGGTTGTGTGAGCATCATAAACTAATGATAACTTTGAGTAATGTTTCTATGTTTATGATTGTATATTAAAAAAAAAAAAAAAGAAGGCAAGCATTTCTTATTTATCCTTTTTTATCATAAAATTGTTTCCGTTTTTTTCCTAATGTGAGTTATGTATATGCAACTAGCTAAATGTCCTTTCTTTATTTTTAAGGATATCAAATTGGGCATTAAAGACATGATTTTTTCACTTTGAATAAATGAATTTTATATATTTTAGTTTACTTTTTTGGACTTAATTTTATTAATATTTTGGATGAGTTGAAAGTGATTTTGTTGGATTTTACGTGATTTTTATTATTTCTCTAAACAAGATTGGAATGCATGAAATTAGAAAATTTGGGAATTAAGTGAAACACTTTCAAAAGTTTGTGACTAAATTGCAATAAGAAAAGTTAAAATTAGGGTAAATAAGCTAAAGTTTGAGGATCAAATTGCATAAGAACTAAAAGAAGAGGGACCAACAATGTCATTTTACCATTAAAATTCTAAGGATTTTGACGGATTAATCGGTGTTATAATGTTAGTAAGAAGGGGGACGATGCTTGGCTCTTTCTTCTAAGTCGAAGAATATTTATGATTTATTTTAAAGTAGAAAGATAATAATGACTCATTTTGCAAAGTTAGATGATTTTTAGTGGCATTAATCGTAATATAAATAAGTATGTAACTTCTTTGATTATTGAGTAAGGCCTGTTTGGTGCAGTTAATGGACAGATCTTCTTGGACCTAAAAGCTACAACTACACTAAACACTGAACACTAATGCTTGTGAAAAACACAAATCCTTCTCAAAAACTCATCTACTCCCATTTTAATGCAATTTTGAGAAGCACTAATTTCGTGCTTATGCGGCAACTTCTACTTTTTGGTTTAATGAATTTTACTCACTCTTCCTATTTTATCCTCACATTTGCTTCTATTTACAACAAAACCACTATATATAGGTTTCAATTATAACATCCCACCGTTCCTTTCTCGCGCAACCCAGGTTGATGTGTTTCTTCCTGTCTTCTTAACCCTCTTCTTCCCCATCCAACCATCTTCTTCCTTCCCCATCCAACCATCTTCTTCCTCATCCAACCAGACACCTAGGAT